CCCCTCCCCTGGAGCCTGCGGTGCCGGGCCGCTCTCTGCCCCAGGGAATGAGCCTGGATAAAAGCCCTCTAAGTCGCCTGAGGACATGCCCCCTCCCCGGGGTTCCTGCTTCCGGCGTGCAGCCAGAAACTAGGGGGTAGGGACAGCTTCAGCAGTGGCCGAGTCCATGTGCTAGGCCAGAAAGCGAGTGCATAGTCCCAGGAGCAAGAATGGCCCAGCTCGAGCTCCGCTCAGCTTCACGAGCTGTGTGACTGCGGCAGGGCGTCTGCCCTTTCTGACCTTGTTTCCCACTCCTCACCCAAGGGCTGTGGGGTAGACAGGGCCCAGGGCCTCCCTGAAGGCAAGTGCAAGCTGGGCACGGGGGAGGGTGCGAGACCCAGCGTGGACAAGCAGCTATCTGCTTGGACCTGCCCGTGCTCCCCAGGACGGTCCAGGGGCTCTCCAGTGGACCTGAGGGGAGACTCTGAAGGGGCACCAGCTGTGTGGGGTGCCAAGAGGAACCCTTGCATGCCTCCTGGCTTCGCTGCCTGATGGAAAACGAGAACTTTCTCAGGAAGACCCGGGCCATCAGAAAACGGGAGAGAAGGCAGGGCAGGGTCATGGGGCCAGGCTGGAGGTGGAGCTCCTGAGGCATGCTCAGGGGGCTGTGAGTCACAGGGACCTGCAGCAGGGAAGGAGAAGCCACGACCAAGAGGCCAAGGTGGGGTGGGGAGTGGGGTTGGAAGGGGCAATTTGTGGCATGGCCAGCTGGGCCCTGTTGAGGTCCGGGAGGCTCCATGGGAAGGGTCTGCCTGATGTCTGTGCGGTGTGGCCCTGGGATGGCCGGGGCCCTGCCTCTGAAAAGGGGGAGTCACTTGAGAGGTGCCCTGGGCAGTTGCAACGGCAAGCAGAGTAAGCCTGGGCACGCCTGCCCGGGAAGGAAGCAGTGGGGGTCCTCAGTCTCAGCTGTCCCCTTGGCTCAGCCAGTCACTGCTCACTGCAGGGCAAGGACTCCTCACCCTCACAGGGCAGCTGCACCATCCCTTTGAGACCTGGCCCAGGGAGCTGGAGGCTGGAGTCCCTGGAGGGGAAGCCTTGGTCCAAGGGTGGAGCCAGGTGGGGGTGTGGGGAGGTGAACCAGTCTGCCCAGCTGTCTACTCAGAGGAGGAATGGCGACCAGGCCAGAGGTGCCACCTGCAGATGCCCCGGGTGCAGCAGGGACGCTGTGGGAGCAGGGCAGGCATGGGCAAAGGGCATCCCCTGCTGGAACACAGAGGCCAGGGCAGGCCTAGGGCACACTCAGGCCACTGGAAGACAGGACGGGAGCTCCACCCACCCTGCTCCCAGTGGGCGCTGAGGGTTGCCAGGGGAGAGGCTGTGCAGTCCCCTGTTCCTTTACCTGCGGGCCAAGCCCCCTTCACTGTTCAGTCAGCGAGCATGGATGCAGCACCTCCCACAGGCCGTGTCCTGGAGTCGGCTAAGGGCTGTCTCAGGGCCAGAGTCCAACACAGGGTAATGTCGCTCTCCTGACTCCGCAGCATCAGAACCTCCCTTTGGGCCCTCTTGTGGCCTGCTTCCTCCAGGAAGCCCTCCTCGACACTGGCCTTGCTGTACTGCCAGGATTAGGCCAGGGCCCCATCCCCGCACCTGCCAGGAGTGCTCTCTGCAGGGGTGTGAGCGTGGCCGTGGCACCCGTGTGCCGTCCTCACTCAGAGGGAAGGCAGCCTGGTACTCCGTATACGGGCTACCATGGCTATGGCTGCCCTCAGGCCGGGGGTGCACAGGGAGGACAAAACCCAGAGGTGCAGTGACCCCATAAATAGCTGGGGGGCAGGAGGGCCACTGCAGCCTCAAGTGGCAACCTCTGTGCACCACCCGGGCCACAGCCAGCCAGGGCCTCCCTCGGGCCTGCAGGCTCAGGCCACACAGGTGAACGGGAGGTTATTTACAGTTTAAAATGATGTCTGGATGCCAGCCTGTGGCCTGGCGGTTAGGGTTGTTGGAGCCCCAAGGGCCAACTGTGGTACGAGTCCCCAACTTGGGGGCTCGAAACACCGGGCATGTGCATGTGCATTTCAGATCCTTACAGGAGGGAGAGGTGGAGCAGGGACTGCAGGGTGGCCTCCCCAGTGGGGATGCTCGCTCGCTCGCTCGCGGTCTCTGGGAGCTGACGCATCAATTTATGGCACCCACCTCCCCCACACGTTACCTCAGCAGATGCACAAGTTAGCCCCGTCCCCAAACTCAAGGACACCCACAGACTCTTCCAGTGCACTTTCAGGACAGCGCAGGCAATGCAGGGCCTCGGGCTTGGCTGATGCCACACGTCCAGCCCTGCAGGAAACTGGCCTTGAGTATCAGGTCCAACCTGCTCTGCCCTCCCGTCCCCCAGGGTCTGCCTGGGAAGGGGTTTAGGAAACAGGAGGTGAAAGCAGGCAGGCCAAGCCAGCTTCCCGTGAGCCCCTCTGCGGTCCCCAGTGAGCAAGGACAGCCCTGGGGTGCAGGTTGGGGTCTTCGTGTCCCTCCCTCACCCCAGTGTCACAAACCTAAAATGCTGCAGTTTTCTTGTCATCTCTCTCTGAGTTCGGAGAGAATGATGTCAGTTAAGATGGTGGCAGGGGAAAGGGGCCCTGCTGCCACCAGCTGTCCCCGACACCAGTTCACTGTGGGTCCACCCAGAGCAAAGGGAGGCTTGAGCCTCCCAGTGGGCAGGGGCTCCACACCCCCACATTGGGAAATGTGGCAGGGGGCACTGACACGAAATCTGGACTGCGGGCAGAGCTTCAGGCTGAGCTCCCGAGAGCCAAGTTAAACAGAGCAATGAGATGAGTTACACATGAGGCCACAGGTGGACGGCAGAAGGGAGAGGCCTGCATGGGGCCCGTCCCTGGCTGATGGAAGCACAACAGAGAGGTCGAGGGAGCCTGAGACCCTCCCGACCCTCCCCTAGAGCAGTTCACCTCGGGAGTGTCTCTGCCCACCCCTTTTCTTCAGGCCCTGAGCAGAGCCGGGATTCTCCCCTCAGTAGGGCCAAGGCTGTCTTCCTGAGGGTCCAGGCCAAGGAAGACGGTGTTCTGGCAGGGTTGTGTGAGCAGCTGTGAGGGCCTGACGGTGCCAGCACGGAACAGCAGGGCTGGGGCAGGAAGGTGTGCAGCCCAGGAGGGTGTGTGTGGGGCAAACTCCCGTTTCTAAGTAAAGGTGAGTGCGGGTTGTCCCACGGGCAGTCCTGGGGAGGACAGGGGCCGAACACCCACCTGATGGTGTTGAGGCTGGGGCCTGGGGAGGGCTGCAGTGCTGGCCAGCCACATCGGGCCCAAGTGCACAGGGCTATGAGCCAGGGGTCCCCACCCTCAAGGGCTCAGTCTGTGGAGTGACAGACACCTAGTGGGCCAGGGTCGGGGTCAGAGGGACAGAAGAGGATGCCAGGCAAAAATGCTACAATGGGGGCTAGTGTGTGCCAAGGCCCTGGGGTGAGACCGGGCACGTAGAGGACCACGGGTGCCCCGTGGCCAGGTGAGGCAGAGCGGGGCTCACAGGGCAAGGATGGAGAATGGGACTGGGGTGGTGGCAGTGGCCTCTGGACAGATGGATGTTCAGGAGATGGGACAGGTGCTGCTGCCTGGGGCCCCTCAGAGTTCCCCCAGCCTGGATCCCATGGGTCCCGCCAGGCCTCAGTTCCCCAGCTGCCCTGTGAAGCCCACCTTTCCCGAATAGTGAAGTGAGGTGCTGGCGTGGGCAGGGCCCTGCAGTGTTCCCTGCCCAGGCTGTCCCAGGGGGATGTCATGCGGCTGTGCGGCCAGCAGGGGGCAGGCGAGGTGCTCCGCAGAGAGGCAGCCTGCAGGGCCGCTGAGCTGACTGAGGGGGATGTGGCATCAAGGGGACACCTGCCCTGCCCAGGCCTGTGTCCCTATCTGCCTCAGATAACTGTGGGGCTGAGGCTGCCCACAGCGGACCCCCTCCCAGGTTGAGTCCAATGGGGCGTCATTCAGAATAGGGTGGAGCAGCCTGGGGGACAGCTCAGACCAGGGGGCAGAGTCCCTAGAACCGTCTCCGGACGGCACAGCAGTGACTTCCCTGTAAACACCTGCTGTGCAGCAGGCCCTGGGGCAGGCGCTGACCATGTGAAATGTGTTTAAACCCCACAACATACTGTCTGCACGCTCAGCCATTTTAAGGAGGGAGATGGGCGGGCGGGGTGCTCCGCAGAGAGGCAGCCTGCAGGGCCGCTGAGCTGACTGAGGGGGATGTGGCATCAAGGGGACACCTGCCCTGCCCAGGCCTGTGTCCCTATCTGCCTCAGATAACTGTGGGTCTGAGGCTGCCCACAGCGGACCCCCTCCCAGGTTGAGTCCAATGGGGCGTCATTCAGAATAGGGGGGAGCAGCCTGGGGGGACAGCTCAGACCAGGGGGCAGAGTCCCTAGAACCCTCTCCGGACGGCACAGCAGTGACTTCCCTGTAAACACCTGCTGTGCAGCAGGCCCTGGGGCAGGCGCTGACCATGTGAAATGTGTTTAAACCCCACAACATACTGTCTGCACGCTCAGCCATTTTAAGGAGGGAGATGGTGACAGAGAGGCAAGGTGACTGAGCCAAGATCCCACAGAGCCGGGGTCGCATCCAGGCCGGCTGGCTCCGGATCTGCCCTGATGCACAGGGGAGCCCAGGGCAGCAGTCCCCACCCAGGGCCTATGAGTCTCCTAGGCCAGATCCCCCCTCCTCCCTGGGTCGGGAGCTCTCCCTCTGCCTCAGTGCCCTTTCTCCTATCACTGGACAGGACGGGATTGGTCCAGGCCTCAGCTCCGTCCAAGGCTCAGGGAGACGCCATCGGCTGAGGGTGGCTGCTACCTCTGAACTTAGACACACGACACCCGGGCTGTGGGCCTTTGCCCCTGGTGTCACAGGGCCACACTGGTGCTCGCAGTCCTTGCCGTCCGCGTTTCCATTCACTTAGTCAGGCTACACTACCCCTGGGCCACTGCCCTCCGCCTCCTGTGTGCCCAGGGCACGGCCTCATCCCGAGCCTCTGCATCCCTGACCCGGCCGCCCCTCCTGCCTACATCTCAGCTGCAGCCTCTCCTCCTGCTTCCTCCAAGGCCCTTCTGAAAGCCGGGTCTGAACACTGCCCTCTCCCACTTCAAACTCGTCGGGGGGCATTGGAGACCTGAAGGGAAGGGGAAAGGGCTGTGGCTGCGGTGCAGGGGGAGGGTGGGTGGGTCCTGGAGACCATCCCCCTTGCCGGAGTGCAGAGGGAGTGAGGACCTCCCTCTTCTGCCATGCTGGGGAGGTTTTACTGCTTTGGGATCCCTAAGGCAAGCACTCTGCTTCCAGAAACCAGTCTGGGGCCTGAGTAGATGGTCACTAACTGGTTAGAGGGTCCCTTGGATCTGAGCAGCACATGTGAGTGATCCGGGGTCTTACCAGCAAAATAGAAGTCCCCAGGCCAGCCGGACTTCCAGTTTGCGAGGTGCTGTCTTCCTACTGGCCTGACCTTTTCTGTTTTGCAGCTCCCTGAGGGCCTCCTTTGACTCCCTGAAGCAACGTAAGTCCTAGATGGCAGGGTGACAGGAGCTCCTGGGAAAACCCACAAACCAAGCTAGCCAGGAGGCCGAGCTAAGGCTTTGGCCAGCTCTGCACCAGGATGGCGAGGCTGGTGGAGGATTGGGGGGAGACCGAAGAGGCCGTGTGGGGCTGGGGCGAGCTGTGGGGGCCGGGGCCCACCGTCACGCTCTGCCCCAGAAATGGAGAACGTGGGCAGCGCGCACATCCAGCTGGCCCTGACGCTGCGCGAGGAGCTGCGGAGCCTCGAGGAGTTCCGCGAGCGGCAGAAAGAGCAGAGGAAGAAGGTGAGGCCACAGGGCAGACGTGTGGGGTGCCCAGCTTGGGGTGGGGGCAGGCCTCCGTTAGGAGGAGACACCTGGGAGCTCCTGATGCCCCATGACAGACTGCAGGGAGCCGAGACAGGGTACCTGGAGAGGCCACCTGAGTTGGGGTGACTGGGATGAGAGCCACTGTCTGGAGAGGCAGGCGAGGGGCTGTCACTGCAGGGCTGTCCAAGGGCCATCGGGCTGGATGGCCCCCAGAGGTGCATCTCACCACCTGGAGGGAGGGCAGGGCTGAAAGTTCGTGGTCAGGGAGAGGCCTACATCACAGAGATGCTGCACCCAGGCTGGAGACTTGCTGGGAGGGACTGTGCTCCTACGCCTCGGCCCTGATGGCTAAGTGCTTGCCCTTGGGAGCATGAGCAAAGAGGTCTTAGCAAAGAGGAGGTACCCGAGACGGTGGGGGCAGGCAGCACTCAGGGACTTTTTTTTTGTCATCAAGGGTCTGCAGAGAAAACCAAAGACATGGAGCCCGAAGGGAGACAGGCTCAGTTTAAGGGGCCAGCTGGGCCTGGTGCAGGATGGGGTGCTTATTTCTGCTTCTCAAGCTTTGGGAGGCTCAGCCCAGAACTAGGCCCCTCGGCCTTCACAGGCAGCACCCCAGGATGTCT